AAGAAGCACAAGAAGAAGAGCAAGCCTCTTGAGCTTCAGCATCACAAGGACTACCACGGTGGAGCCGAGTTTTACTCTCCTAGTAGAGTAGAGAAAGCACGTGCACGTGAGAGGGCAAAACAACAAGAGCAGAAGGCAGAAGAGCTCAAAAAAGCAGAGATGGCTGAACTGAGGCACGCCAATAAGCTGTACAAGGAGAAGATTGCACAGGAGAGGTGTGAGCAGAAGTTGAGGGAGAAGGAAGAGCGTGACCGGCTGAAGGCTGAGAAGGCTAAGGAAGTTGCCAAACGCAAGGCTGAAAAAGAGCATCAACAGAGGGAGCGCAACACCAAAAAACCTATACAATTGTCCCAAAGAGGCAAGCGCAAGGCCTCAGAGGTTGCAGCACCCAGGAAGAAGCAGAATCGTGGTAGTGCAGCTGCCCATAGTCATGCTGCTGCCGCGCCTTGCTCCCCATCCCCTCCGGCAAAATACAACAGCCGCGGCCGCCCAATCAGAGCGCCACAAAAGTTTGAGTGAGAAACTTGTTCATATAGGTCTATAGACTACTCCGCCAGAAAATCTCATGATAATAACCATTGTGTGTGGCTCTACAGCCTCAATTTTGGATTGACGATTTTGGTGTTTCGGCGCATTGCGCGAATCCGCGCATTGCGCGCACAGACACGGTAGTGGTTCTCTGACCCTGGTGGTATTTTGACAAAGTAGTGCAATCACAAGTGTTTTTTGGCAAGTGCCAGGTACAAAAAAGAAGCGCCTGGCTTCAATTTCTTCATCTCTGCAAGGGCGCTTCGTAGAGTCATTGTGGTGTTGAGTTATTGGGGGGTGGAAAGTAGGTGCGGAAGTTGGTGGGGTGGCTCGGCCGGTGAACCGGCTCGGCTGGTGACTTGGCACGGTAAGCTGCTGGACCTTTGTTCCGCCGATTAGCTCTCATGCATCTGTGAGCCTTCACTCCCATGTCTACCATCCGTCAATATGGGCTCCATCATAGATAAAGCTTCGTAGGAATCCTGTTCACCTCATCGGGTTTCACAGAATGGCTGTCATCAGCGCTACAGCTTCTTCGGAAGCATCATCGGGGCCGTCCTCTACGACCTCTACGCAACAGCAGTCACAGAAGGCATTCTCGTGTGTTCTATGTGCTCAACGGAAGGTGAAGTGCGACAAGAATCCTGGCGGTTGCAACAACTGTACCAAAGCACGTGTGCCATGCATTTACAAGGCACCCCCACCACCACGGAGGAGACGGAAGGGCGTCCGTGACGTGGATGTTACCACCAAGCTTCGAGTCTATGAAGCCGCTTTGCGGAAAGCTGGAATCGACCCAGAAAGCCTACTGAAACAACCATCATTGGCAGATAGCGATATCACTCATAGCCAGCCAGGGCCCAACGGGGAACCTACACCTCGACGACCGGGGCCAGCCGAGGATGAAACCGATTCGACTGAGATAGGTGTTCTAGTCACAGAGCATGGCAAGTCAAGGTACCTGGGGAACAGTATATGGACAAGTTTGAGAGGTGAGTTTCGCAATCTGAAAGAGATTCTCGATGAGACTTCGGACGAAGAGTCGTTCGATGGTCACATTGGCAGGGCGCCCGAAACCTTCTCTCTAGACGGTACGCAGCTACTATTCGGCAGCCCTATATCATCGACAGCACTTCGACCTCTTCACCCTCAACCCGTTGGAGCGTTCAAGCTGTGGCAGGCTTATCTGGACAATATCAATCCGCTGATCAAATTATTCCACGCACCAACGGTGCAGCAGCTGATAAGTGAGACAAATGGCAACCTGGACGAAGTGCCACAGAATGTGGAAGCGCTCCTATTCGCGATCTATTGCATTTCGGTTGAGTCTTTGAGCGACAAAGAGTGCATAGCCATCACCGGAGTTTCCAAGGAAGTGGCAAGGCAGCAGTTCAGATCTGGCGCTCAACATGCTTTGATCAACGCAAGCTTCCTGAAAACCTCGGACCTGATGATTCTGCAAGCGCTGACCCTCTTCATTGTGAGTAGACCCCCTCACCCTACTATATTCTGCGACGTGAAACTTAGCATAGCCAGGTGTCGCTTCAAAACATCGATGCTCGCATCATCTGGATGCTGTCTGGGGTCGCGCAGCGAATCGGACAACGCATCGGCCTACACCGCGACGGTGATATGCTAAAGCTACCCCCTTTCGAAGCCGAGGTACGCAGGCGCTTGTGGTGGCAGATCATCATGCTGGAAGGTTTCTCTCAGAAGCTCGCGGGCACAGGCACTGGGACAGATGCCTCTATTCTTATGGGTGACGTCAAAATGCCAGCCAACCTGAACGACAGCGACCTGTTTCCGGGCATGAAAGAACTGCCTAAAGAGTCTGACAGGGCTACTGAGATGATGTTCTTTCTCATTCGATGCCACGTTGGCGAGTTTTTCAAGCGCTTCGAGACCCCAAAAGCTCTGTTCGACGGAGTCTGGAACAAGCTGACGACAACTGCCGTTAGTGTGGGTATCAAGGAGAGAGCCATAGGGGAGCTCGAGCGCCTCTTCGAACAAAGGTTCCTGCGGCACTGCGACACCTCAATCACCTGGCACTTGATGTGCACTCACTTGGCGAAGGCTATCATCTTCATGATGCGCTTCATGGCTTACGGCGCCAACTACCAGGGCAAGACTGAGTCTCAAGCACAGAAAGATACCCTCTTCACTTTGTCTCTGCAAGTATGCTCGTCTCAGAACCTGGCTTACACCATGAAAGAGATGCAAGGCTTCATGTGGCACGTCAACATGCACTTCCAATGGAGAGCATTCGTCTACTTACTCTCTGAGCTTCGTTATCGGACCTCGGGACCGGAGGTCGAGCAAGCGTGGAGGGATGTTCAGCTTACATACGAGTTTCACCCAACTTTCGATAAAGAGCTGTCCAGAAGAGCATTGCCAATCGCCGTCAGCAACCTGACGCTCAAGGCATGGGAAGCCTATATAGCCGCCAATGGTATGCCACAGAGTGGCGAGCCTTACTTCATTCAGCTCATTCGCAGTCGCCAGCATCGCCCTAAAAAATCAAGCGCCCCAGCTGGGCAGCCAAGCGCTTCCACTACCAACTATATGCCGTCTCTCACGCCAAGACTCGTTCGACAGCCAATCGTCGATGAGGGTATGGGTGTTGATCACTTAGCGGCCATCGACTGGAACACAGCAGACCTCAACGCTAGTCTAGGCATGCCGGCCGTGTTGCCAGATCTGGCTCCGCTCGACTATCCAGGGGAGATGAACTGGTCAATTTGGAACAATTTGCTTATTGACTTCCAAACAAACGACACCAACATCTATCCGCCCGATATGTCATCTTTCAACTTTGGCTCATAATGTGCAAGCACTTTAGCAGCCTGACGGCGCTCAAACTCCTCTTATCTCAATCGCACCGTTTGAGTATTGCCTCTTTGCTTCTATAGCGCTGGATTTGTTTGGTCACTGCGCTTTTTTCAAGTACCGCTTTAACTTTGGAACAAAGGTGGCACTCTGGATCGTGCGCGACACTGCATCCATAACTACCAGAAATCTCTAGGGTCTCCCGAACGCACTCAACCCATCCAAAGATGGCAGAGGCATTGTGTAAGCAGCTCTTGTTTGATGTCGCAAGGTAAGTGTCTTTACATTATTCGCAGCTCCGCGTTGTCCCTCTAACTACAGTCAGCTTACGCGCCCTCAGCGATTTCTCCGCCCTGACCATTGAATGCGGCGATGATACGTACCTCGTGGACAAAGTCGTTCTCTGCCCTCGTTCCACTGTATTCGCTAAGGCAGTCAAATATCCTGACGTCGAAGCTGAGGACAGCAAGATCAGTCTTTCAGACAACGATCCTTCTATGGTCAGGCTCCTTGTCCAGTACCTCTATGAGGCCGAGTGCGACCCCACGCTCCCCAACTTGTCGATCAACGGCATACCCGCACAGACGGTGCCACAGTCCTGTGTATCTGAAACTGATGTTGATGTACCCTGCCGCTACCAGTGGGAGTGCCGCACCGTCAGTCCCCACCATCGCTGCGATGAACACTGCAGCTAAGCTAGTGACATATTCACACTGAAAATGCAGGTACCAGACGCGTCTGTGGCGCGTGGAAGTTCACAACAGGCGCGCAACATACTTGTGCTGGAGATTGTATACAATGATTATGTTTGTGGATGTTTCTAACCCTTGATCGTTCCCTTCATGCTCTGCTTCCCGTAGCTATCCCAGATGTCTGCATTCCATTCGCCGCTCCCACTGCTTTGCCCACTTGCACCACCCTGTCCAAGCAGTATCCGGTAGGGCTCCCCCATGTACAACGGCGACATTGCACGATATGCGATCGACTTCGGTGCTGCCTCCGAGTTTCCGCCCTTTGCTGTGTCTCTCCAGAAATCGAGGATGTTGATCAGATTGAGGGGGCCATGCACCACGCAGTTCCTGTGCCCTTCAACTTGCCTGCACCACTCTGGCGAGAAATGGATCTTGTGTCCGTTAAAAGTCAACGCTGAGAACCTGAACAAAGTCACATCTGATTGACAGAAGTCTCTCGTGTGCTCTCCTGACGGCATGGACTTTTCTCCCGGCTTTGGTGGGGGCGTCAATGGGATTTCTGGCGTGACCTCCTTCTGGAATATCCAGTTCCTCTTGTCTACGAGTGCGATGCCTTGGTCGTTCTCAAAGGTCTTCTTCACGCCAACGACCAGCATTTCTCCGCCGTTCTTGAGCTTCTTTGGTTCTGCAGACAGTAGTTTGGTGGTTTCGCGTACCTCCTGACCCACTCTCAGCAACGCATTGGGGTCTTGCGCCCATGTTAATTCACCACCAGCCCACATGCGTCGTGTGTATGGCGCGAGGGGGTTGACGGTGCGGTCTGTGCCATCGAGGCCAAGTTCAGATTCGATGATGCTCGGCGTGAAGTAGACGAGATGGTATCCAGGAGGAACAGGGGTACCCTCCGGCGGTGGGTTGTTTGACGATGGTGTGCGGTCCAGTGTAATGCTCAGCAATTGAAGTTGATTCGCGTCGAGGACCTGCTTCCTGATCGAAACTGGCTTTCCATTGCCAAATCGCTCGAAGATCTCTGCGCTTGCTTCTGCGCCAGAAGCTCGCCGGCATGTGGTGGTTGTGAAGAGACGGCGTGCCACATAAGCCATGTTGAAATTGACACTTGTGAGCTGTACAAGTGAGGAACCGCAAGCCTGTGTGGGTTGTTGCAATCGAGCTTGGCATTCAAGTCGTGTCTGTAACGCGCTGGAATCAGCATAGCCGACTCGATAACGTCATCCGTTTACACATCGCACTCGAAAGAAGGCGCGCAGGGATCTGTCACTACCAAGCAATACATCTAGTATCAAATTTCTAGAAGTTTGCCAGGCCTTGAAGCTGCTTATATGCGCATATCGTGATGTGCACGCTATACGCAAAACATGTGCGGATGGTGATGTCTTCCGTCCAGCCTCCGCATTTGGCCTGCCCGCCAGCAGAGGCTGCACTGTGCCGAGCCGCTAAGTCGCACCCAAGTTAAACGGCTACTTCCTCCTCCCTCCGGCAACTCAGCATCTCCAAGGCCAGCATGATGGATTACGGCGACGAACGACCGCGGAAGCGCGCAAAATTGGCGTGTACGAATTGCAACGCGCGACGAGTCAAATGCGATGTCACGGATCGCCAGCCATGTCGCAACTGCGAAGTGGCACAGGCTGTGTGCGAAATGCGCGAGTCAAAGCGCGGCAAACATCCTCGAAAGCCCAAGGTGGAGAATGACAAGCGCAACAGCATTGTCGCAGTGGAGTACGTATTGGGATCATTGAGTTGACATGTCGAATGTGACATTGCACTGACCCTTGTAGCACTGCGAAGGTTCACATGACCCCTGAGCGGCATGAAGATGACATTGCTGCATCACACGTGCTTGCATCTCTATCAACAAAGTTTCACAGCCCTGCGGAAAATCAGGCTGCGAATAACAACATCGACTTCCAATTCGCTAAACCTCGTAGGTGTGCAGACTTGCAGGCGGGACTTTCACAGACCGAAACAACTCGACCAGAAGACGATGCAGCGGTCTTCTTAGGCGAGTCCAGTTCACTCAGATACGTGAGTGAGGAGGAAGTCCCAGTTTTAGCGCTTCATCGCCCTCGACTGCGCCATTCTGTACCTAATGCCGTGAAGGCAGAAGCGTTTGTCCCCGAGTGGGAGGCAGAGAGACGCCGTAAACGAATGGAAGCGCTCCAAGCCGAAGGTGCTTTTTCTTTTCCTCCAAGCAATGTTTGCATTGCCCTCTTGGAGGCCTACTTCCAATGGTTTCACCCACATTTCGCTGTCGTTGACGAAGCAGACCTTTGGGAATCGCACCGCCAAGGGACTATCTCACCTCTCTTATTGCAAGCTATGCTATTCATCGGTGTCATTCACTGCGAGGAGCTGACGCTACGCAATTTGGGATGGGGAAACCGTCATCGAGCAAGATATATTTTCTACATTCGCGCCAAGGATATCTACGATGCATCCTATGAGACCAACAAGCTAATTGTCCTCCAAGCTGTGTTTTTGATGAGTTTCTGGCGTGCCGGTGCGCTCCTAGAGAAAGACGCTCGTCATTGGCTTTCAGTTGCCATCAGTCTAGCCCAGACCAAAGCACTGCATCGTTCCACGGGAGAGTCAGACGAGAAACTTGCAAGGCTCAAACGGCGGTTATGGTGGGCCATATATGTCCGTGAGCGTCAATGCGGCTCCGCTCTTGGCCTCCCCAGCCGCATCCGCGACGAAGACTGCGATGTTGAGCCTCTGACCATCTTGGACTTTGAGTGGGCCTACTTGCCAACATATTCTCCGATCGATGCTGAACGGTATAAGGATTATGGTGTAGGTATGGTGCAGCTTGCCGTGTTTCTTGGCAGGATCGTTGATACCGGTTACCTTCCCAATCGCACACTTAAGCCTGACGACCGCGCAACTATCAGGGACGAGCTCTACAAATGGAAGCATGAGCTTCCCCTGGTCATGCAGGTCTCAGTCGACACAGGCGATGATCCGAGTTTCCAGGCTAGCATGCTGCATCTTGCCTACAATAATTTGCTCATGCTACTCTACCGGTCGAACCTTATCAACGAGGAAGACGGGAGCACCGATATCGAAGGCAATATAGCGCTGCAAGCCGCTGCTCGTAACTCCCGTATCGTGGAGGATATGCTACCCCGAGCGAACATCGGTCATGCGCAGATACATGTCATCACAAATCTGTTCAACACGCTTTGCATACATGTTGCACACCTCAGACGATCCACAGGCATCAACCGAACGTTGGCTGAGCACCGAGCAAAGCTCTGTCTACTAGGCCTACAGGAGCTGCAAAAGACCTGGGAAGTGACCAACTGGGTCCTTCAACTCTTCTTCCAGTATCTCGATCGATCCACCGTTGCGCGTCTCGCGATGGAAGCCGACGATATCGGCATCTCTAGCGTAGTAGCACCGAGCGGACACGCAACACGCGCCTCAACACCCCTCACGCAGCATGGCAACAAAGTGGATGCCGACGATGTCAACGCAATGCTCACGATGCAGCAAATGAGCAATCATCAACCAGAGACAGGCATGACGCCATGGTCGTGGACTACCGATGAAGCAAACCAGTACCTTTTCTCGCAAATTGAGAACGACTTTGCCTTCGGCGAGGGCGGCATGCTGCAGCGGAGCCCAAACGACCTTTTGAACAACGTTCTGACGCCGAATTTTGGTTTCAGTGACCTCAATCCTCACGGGAATGGGGTCCCACATGGGCCCTGAATGATCACGAGTCGCTGAACCAATGTACTAATAGGCGGCAAAAATCACTCAAACGTTGGCAAGATTCTGATGCAGTAGAACAACTCGCACTAGGATTGCTTGTAGTAGTCTAATCTAATAATTGCTAATCCAATCAGGGGCCAGCGTCAAAAGCCACTCATCATCCTGGGTATCGTTCATTTCATGTCGGTTCCATCGTCTAAGCCCACTTGCCAAGCACGCTCATCAACACCATACCACAGACCAATGCGAACATGGCTGCCGCTGACCTGATCAAACTGGCATTGAACAAGCGCCCGTGCATCCAGTCTCTCGCCAACATCTCGACAATACCAACCCACGCCAGGATACCCGCTGAAAGCGCATCAAGAGTTCCGATGGCGACGATGGTGGAAGGGTCGTTTCCATTGAACGAGTTCAAGACGCCGATACCGATAGCCATACCGATTGGAGTGATGAGGGCGAAGGTTCCACCCATGATGCACTTCTGCAGAGTCGATGCGGCAGCCTTGGGTAGCTCGGCGATACACGTTCCTAATGCGATACCCTCGAACATCTGGTGGAAGAGTATGACGACGAAGAGTGTGATGAAGAAAGAGTCGCCGGCGACTACAAGGGTGATGCCGATAAGGATAGAGTGGAAGATAATACCAGCCTCGAGGTTCATGACATTGATCTTCTCCTCCATAGGAGTGGCGTTGTGAATGGCTCCGTGGGCATGAGGAAGGCTGTGGCTGCGGTTGAACTCGTTCTCCGGTGTGCTGGACGCGGATACCGCCTTATCACTGCCGTCAGTAGGAGTGCCGCGAATCTCGCTGTCGGTCGCAGCGTGCTTCTTCTGGCGCCACTGAACGAAACGAGCACCAAGGTAGTCCGCCAAGAACGACAGGAAGAGACCAGCAAGGAAGACAGCGGCGGTAGTTCCCTCGTACTGGAGCTCACCCAGGCATTCGTTGCCGAACATAAGATCGGCGTGCGTAAAAAGATGGACGAAGGCAGTCGACAGAACGATACCGGTACCGAACTGCTTCAGGACAACGAATATCATGTTCGTCTGGGAGATGATGTTAAAGCGGGTCGTCAGAATAGGCAAGAAGACACCGAACGCGCTGGTAGCGAGGATGACAAAGAGAAGACCAATACGTAAGGGGATGTTGTAGTCACGGGGCGTCGCGTCGCAAGATACCTCCTCGCTGCCGCCTACGCAGTGTCTGGATGAGGTCAGCAGGTGATCGCCAAATGGTCGTCTCGTTGAACTTACTCAACACCGGCATGGAAGTGGCAGTGCTCTCGAGATCCAGCGGGCTCCTCAGCAGTCTCGCCAGAGTGAGTAGTCTCCTCGGTAGACTCCATGATGACCTCGACATCCTCGCCTGTATCGTCAACGCAGTATCTGGTTCGTGGTTAGCAATGTGTTGCAGATACAATACGGTTCTAGTTACGTGTCACTGCCGTGCTTGTGGCAGTCTGTGTATTGTGCCTGGAACTCCTCTGTCGCAGTAGGCCCGGAGATCTGGTACTCCTCGGTACCGACCATGCACCAGCTGTTATAGGTTAGCGCCATACCCCATCAGTGAGAGAGTACGGCGTTGGACCTACTTGGTAGTTCCGTGAGGGTGGCAGTCTGACACAGCTGTGATTGTCGGGGTCGCAGAAGCAGGCTGTGTAATGGTCGCCGTCACAGTCACAGTCTGAGCAGCAGCAAAGGCCGCAAGTGCCAGTACAGCAGCGAGACGTGCAGCAGGGGCCATGTTGGAGTGTCGTAGAGTACGATTGGCGCGCTGGACGGGTGAAATGCTATCAGACTCGAGCCGCGCCAACGCAACCTTATTATATCGACCTGGAAAGTCTGCAGACGGTTCTGCGGCACGATTATACGGCTTAGAAGTACCGTGTTGGAGCGGCAAAGTATGCGGATTTGAAGAATCTTCCAACCGCCGTCCGAGTTGAGCGTTCTTGGCGTGGGTGGATGTTTGAGCACCGTGATGGAGAGAGCCAAGGCCGCCAAGTACGGCGGAGTCCACTTTCTTGTCAAGATCAAGAGTTCGATGATGGTCTCAGATTGAAGGCTACAAGCACGAAGAAGTAGATGGAGATGCGTTGTTTATCTGCAGAGGGGTCAAGACGCACCGAACCATGGTAGACATACGCCTACCAAAGGACCCTGAGACTATCGCAACATGTGAGATCGACACCCAAGACAGGACGTTAGCAGCAACAACGCACCTCGCTCTTTCTACCGACCAGCGATCATAGTTGAAGGAGCGAGTCCGTAGGTTTCCGGGATGGGTCTTGGCTTGGTTTGGCTTGGCGGGTGAACGTTGGGTAACATACGACTGTGGGGTGGCTGAGTAGGCTCGGACTACTCCGTTACACGTCACATTTGAGAAGTTCTGGTATATACTGTCTTGTGAAGATACCGTTCTGTATATACAGCTGCTTTACTCGCAGAGCAGCTCAGCGCTCTTGACATATGGACAATATGCGGTACGTAGACACTGACAGTGTTGTCGCAATGCAGCCCACAAGCATGTCCACAGCACAGTGTCTTGAGATTATCAGCTTCAGAAATGTTCTGCTGACCATCATGACACGTTGTGTGAAAGTATGCTGCACAAACTTGCAGCTCCATGCAGTCAAGCCTTTGGCTTTTCCGAACGCAGTTACTCCTACCGACGCTTTGTCTCTTGGAGGCGTGAAAATCTTGTCATTGGTAGACCATCAAGGTGCTTGGTGTACTTGAACGGGCACCGCAGAGGAGGAATTTCGTAGGCCAGGCACTCCAGGCCCGCAGCAATGGCTCAACTATGCGAAAACCCACGCGAAACGTGCCGCGAGCCAAGAGAATAAATCGCTGCCGTGCTTTCTTAGTTCGAAAATGTGACCTCACAGGTGGTGATGGACCTACGAATGAAGCATTCAGGCGTATACCGTGGGGTCTCGGCGTTGAGAGAAGCAGGGCGACTTCGGTCGAAGGGTACCGAGAAGGACTTGAGCGTTGTTTATCAGGCTCAAGCGCCATGGACTTGGGTTGTATAAAGAGGTGTCACGCCGTCTGCAAGATTCCCCATCCAGACATCCGGAACAGATTTGCTGAACACCAGTTCGCATCTTTACTACACTCAAGGTTTCAACTTGCCAATCACTGATACCTTAATTGGACCATCACCATCCCCAATGGCTCGCTTCACATCTCTTGTGCTCCTTGGAGCTGCGGCTGTCTCTGCCTCTCCTCTTGCTGCTCGCCAGGCTACCACCGTCACCGTCACTGCAACCGCTGAAGCGGCTCCCACTTCCACTGCTTGGGACGCCGGTGCCGTTCATCAATATCCCATCCACGCTTCCTGTAACGCTACTCAGCACCAGTACATCAGGAACGGTCTCGAGGAGACTCTCACCATCTGCCGTCAGGCCCGCGACCACATCCTCCGCTGGGGTAACTCTTCGGAGATCTACCGGAAGTACTTTGGCAACGCTCCCACGGGCGAGCCTATCGGCTGGTTCACCAAGATCGTCGATGGTGACAAGGCTGATGTCCTCTTCCGCTGCGACGACCCTGATAGCAACTGCCGTACTCAGAAGAGTAAGTTTACTGCAGGACTGTCTCTCTTCATCAAAATCTAACAACCAGCTACAGACTGGGCAGGCCACTGGCGCGGCTCCAACGCAAGCTCTGAGACCGTGGTCTGCGACCGCTCCTACGAGCTCCGCCGTCCTCTGGAGGGCATGTGCATGTTCGGCTATGACGTTGCCAACGGTGCTACCAACTTCTACTGGGCATCTGACCTCCTGCACCGTCTCCTCCATATCCCCAAGGTCGGCGAGGGCATCGTCGAGCACTACGGCGGCGCAGACGAGTACCCCGGTGTCCTCACCCTCGCTGAGTCCAGCCCTGAGGAGGCCGTCCGCAACTCCGATACCCTCCAGTACTTTGCTCTTGAGGTTTACGCACACGACATTGCTGTCCCTGGTGTTGGATGCCCTGGCCATTACCGCGAGGTGTCCTCCGCTGCTCACGCCGCACCTACTTCCTCCGCCAGCGCCGCTGCCAGCTCTGTCGCCGCTTCTGCCACTGCCGTTGCCAGCTCTGCTTCCCGCGCTGCTTCCTCTGCTGCTGCTAGCGCTACTGCCGCTGCTACTTCTGCGGCCGCTCAGGCTTGCACGCCTCACGACGACCACTGGCACTGCCCTCCTGGCGTCCCTGAGCCCACCTCTCCTCCTTCCTAAGCGAATTGAGTGGTTCTGAATATGAGTCGGAGGTGTGAACGCTTGATGACGTTTTATGAAAATGATATGCGGTGGCCTCTATGCCCAAGGAAATAGATCAATCGATAGACTGTGATGATATAATATGGCCATTCAAACGAAGCCCAAAGAGGGTCCTGGAATTCGTGAAATCATACAACGACGTGTTCCGCGCAACTAATGGTGGAATATGTACGCAGATCAGCTCCTTTTTGTGATATCTCTGCATTCGACCATCTGAGAGCTGTGATGCCGAGTCCTCAGAAAGTTACATCCACATCTCACTTGAATCTACAACCTACATACGTATAAGTCCCACAAAGACACTTGCGAACTGCTCAGAGGCTGAACCTTGATGCCCACCCCACCTGATAGACGCGTCTGTAGTGCCGAACGATCGCGCCTTTCAGCGGGGTAGCTCTACCTTGACGGCGCCAGCCCTCTTGACCAAGTAGGGCTGTCCAATCACAAGGCGTCACATCGTCGATGTTTGTCAGATACGGTACCTTCCAGCGGCGGTCAAAGGAGACGTCATGAGGTTGTGCGGTCCGCTGGTCGTGGACCAAGGGTCTCGACGTGACATTACCGAAGCACGCGATGTGGGGGAAGGGACCGATCGACATGTAACCGAGAGCGTCACGGACAGGTCCGGCAAGGCGACATCAACATCATCACTAAACATCAAACATGTAGACTTGCAGCTCGGAGTGTACCGTTCATTTCGTCGTGGTAGTGAGATGTGAGCATATTCTCGCTATTGCCGATCAAGTAGGTGAGATAGATGCTGCGAAACCAAGGAAGGTGGTCTCGGAGACTTTGTGTGCCAATGGGAGCATTGCTGACCTGCGAGGTACCACCAATCCATCTCTTAACGATGTGCTACGAACATGGCGGTACTCAGATTTATGTAAAGTATCCGGGAAGAACTGTCCGTAAAATGGACACAAGGGTTTGGGATCCCATATAAATGTCGGCTCAAAGCATGTGCAATGATATAACATGTCGTCACAACGGAAGAACGATTACTGCACTATGAGTGCTGCAACTACAACGGCCAAATCAACCCTCTGGATATGGCCCTCCGGCCTCTTTCCCCGGCGCCTCATCTACTACTTCCGCGCCAAACACGTCACCCTCAGCACCCTCTCATCGCACAACATCCACCTCATCCCCGTCTCGCTCACCACCTCGCCTCCGGCTCTCGGGTCCAGACCAGGCCATGAAGCTCGCCCAGCGGACTCCTCTCTCCCAATCATGCGCATTGAACATGCAGATGGGCGCACGGTGTGGATCCGCGAGAGCGTTTCTATACTCGAGTATTTTGAGGAGTTGTTTCCTGTGTCCGATGGATGGGAAGACCTCAGAGGTGAGACAGCAGAACCGCGAGCGCGGACGAGGGACGTTCTAAGTCTGCTCAACGACGCAATGCACTGGGGTTTCATATCGCTTATCCACTCGGATCCCAGAACAACATTCTGGTCTGGCCTGAGCGAATGGGAGATGAGTCCCAGCACCGCTGCGCATGCGCATAAAAAACAGCGATTTTACCTGGAGAGGCTGGACCGGTGGTTGGAAGTGGATGGAGGGCAGGAGATGGAGGTTGCGACGCTGGCGGGCTTGGTGTTGTTGGCGAATGTGGAGTATCCTGAGATGATGTATGGGACGGATTGGGTCGGCGGACATGATGTGTTGAGGGCGTGGGTCGAGGCGATGAAGGGGGAGGAGTGGTATGTGGGAAACGAGGAATTGAAGGGTGTTGAGAGAGGAGAGGGGTGGGAGACGTTGCTGGGAGACTGAAACAGAGGACGAAGTTTAATGGAACCATATATTCATGTACTTGTTATAGAGCAAGTTGTGACACATCCAAGCCTTCAACGCCAAAAAACCACCACAGTGTCCAGAGTCGCATCGCATCCCCTCACTCGTCTGTCTAGTGACCCTGGCCGCTAACAGGGCACACAGCGTCCTTCGCCGCGCCCTCAACGCTAGGGTGTGTAACAACATTGTTCTTATGATGACCAACCGTCGCCCTGGTGACTGGGCAGACATCCTCGGGCCCCGCCTTCAGCACATCAGGGTGATCGGGCGGGAGCACGGTGGTAGCGGTGCCGACAACGGGGCAAACAGCATCGTCGAGCTCCTGAGCCTTGGGCTCCTTGACGGCGGACTTGAGGGCGGGGCACGAGGTGGCTTCGGTCGAGTTGAGCCCAGGGATGTTGGGGTGCTTGTCGAGGTTGTGGTGGTGGTCGGTGGTTGCGCCTACAACTGGGCACTGGGGGTTGTTAGCATGCAGCTTTGGTTGATTGGTTTAACGTCCTATGTAAAGTCACGTGTGATGTAGCATGCAGCTTTGTTCTGGTAGGAGAAGAGACATACTGTCTGGCCATCGACGTTCAAGTCGACCTCCGGGTGGTTGGGCGGGAGTACGCTGTTGGTGGTTCCGATAACTGGGCAGGTGGCCATGGTGTGTAATGTTCTGCGGTGTAGAAACTGTGTGTGTCTATGTTGGTGAGCGGTGAGCAGTGAAGGGTCTGCAGCAGGAAGTGGAGTGAGCCCTTCTTGACGGATCCGTCCCAAGCTACCCACTTCCCCAGGTTTTGCCGGGTCCTATGGTTGTTTAGCAACGAGTGGCGTGACGTATGGCTGAGCCTTGCTTGAGGCAGCAGCAGCAGGTTGCTTTGCTCCACAAACACTGATCACACGCATGTTGTTTATTAGTGCGGTAACCATTCACTGTGGTGCATCATTTGCGACACTTCAGCAACGTCTTGTCATGGAGCAAACATGTTTATGTTGTTGTTGCGGTGCTTTGCAGCCTTGCGCAGGATGCACCTGCATGAAGCTGCGACGGATGCGGTGAACGAAGCGGGCGCTAGTGCGGGGCATAATCAGCTTCGACTGTACATTGATTGGCTCGACATCAACGCTTATCAATCGCACTTTTATTGGCTACAGGAGGTACTTGATCCTTTGTGTCTTGCAAAAGACCGTGAGGCTGCAATTATCTCCTTCAATGTCATGTCGATGAATCTCCTCTACAGCACCCGAAAGATGGGATATTCATCACCCACCTCCAGCGGGAGGTGGTTGTAGTATGCCGAACTCGCCTCATCCAGGCCGCGGATGTTGGCGTTGACGTTGACGTTGAGGCCTTTGTTTGCGGAGACTAGGAGGTCCTGAGAGCGCATGTATCGCTGTGCGACTCCCTCACTCCGGCGTACTGGTAATCATCAACAAAGATGTGCGGATCGAAATCGGATTGCAGCTGCCTAATCTTGCGTGTCTGCTCGCGCACCAGAATTGCGTGGTCTCGATTAGGATCGTAATTAGATGCGAGCTGACTTTGCAGATACTTGACCCCATGCACGTTGCAGCGCAGAAGGATCAGCAAGTTGAGTTTCTCAAGGACCTTGGAAGTCCACTTGGAATCAGCAACGAGCCTTCCCAGTGATGCGAGAACACCCTCGTTGCCGGCTGGCTCATTCCCGTGCTGGCCTCCCCTGGATGCAGATGCGCAGCTTCCTGTCGTTGTGTTAACCGTTTGGCAACGTGACGTACGGAATGCTGCGGGCCTCCCCGGGTTTGAGCTCTTCGTGGTAGGTAACCCATCACCGTGCAGTTCGATAGGTCTGTGATGATGTTGTCTGGTTTGGTCAGTGAAATTCACGCGTACAGGAGGCCTTCTCTCACCGAGGGTGTATTGTGGAGTTGGCCCAGAAGTTCCTTTCGCAAAGTTTACCGGGATACCTCCAGGGTTGATGAAGGTTGGAGACGATAGATCGATGCCTTCAACATCTGGAAAGTTAGCCGCAACCTGAGGAGCGTCGACTACTGCAGGGTTCTGGTTGTTTGCATAGCTATCGGTCATGGCAAGCTTTGCGCTGAACATCAGTACGCTCTCAGCAGGCCTTCCAGTTCAGAGAGTCATCTTGATTGCTAATGTCAATAGTCGCTAGAATCGATGGTGATTGCATGTTTATATGTCACGGTTCAGGGTGCTCTTGCCTTTCAAACCTCACCTGCCATGAGAGTGACTGCCACATCACACTAGAGTTGTTTACAGCTACTCACATATACATACTGTCCGTAGCTTCACCCAATACAACCTCAGTTCAATCCTGCATTTCTTCCCACATGCGTACGGATCATCCACGCCTCCTGACAGTGTGTTACGATCCTACGTCCCACGATAGGACGACAAGCAATAAGTAACCGCCAACCAAACACGGAGGCCTGGGGGAAGGTGCAGCAAGGCAAGGCCGCCCGGCCGGCGCCTAGGGGATTGCTCTCAGCCGAGCTGACACACGTGACGGAGCTCGTCAATGAGCAATGTCACGTGAGTGCTCGTCAACGAGCATGACGTGATGCTTGTCAACGAACATGGTACGATGCTCGTTGACGAACCGCAATCCATCCGGATTGGCCAGGACCGACTCTGCTCGTCAACGAGCAGATCTGGTGGACTGTATATATATGTGTAGGAACACAACCCTTATGGTTCGTGTTCAACCTCGTCAATTGAGTTTGTCATTGGATCTCAACCAACCTTCGAGCTAGACAGATTGCCTGTACTACTCATTGTTACCCCAAGCCGTTGTTAGGGGTTTCACCCAGGCGACTTACCCCTACTGTTCCAGAACCAGAGTTCATCCTCGAGAACCAATTGAATAGTACTTATGAGCTTTGCTTAAAGTACAACTTCAACACAGTGATGAGCCCGGCTGCATCCTAGGATTGTTCTCAATTGTCACTACATCCACCACAACGCACCTGTTACAGCGTTTATCCACAACGCAACTGTCACCGCATCCACCACATTGCGACTGTCACCGTGTCCACCACAACGCACCTATTACCACATCCACCACAATGCACCTGTTACCACGTTCACTCACTATGCACACTGCCTGTCACGAAGATGCTATGAGTAGGCCCTTTAGGACTCGCTAGGAGTCTAAATCAATTACTATATACGGTATCTAAGTAGGTACAAGATTGATTGATTGATTGATTGATTGATTGGTTTAACG